CAGTACTGATGGGATGGTAGACGGTACTCGCCTGTGCACGAATATAAGCGTCGATTAGTGCATCAGTATGCAAGTTGGCGAGGTCTCCGTAGGGACCAATGAGATAACCATTCCAAGCTTTTGCGGACATGAGGCGCTGGAAGGACTTGACCGATTCCCTTAAAACGGTAAGGTCAAAGTCGCTGGAGAGGAAGTTGGGGTTTATGATAGGTGCAATCCAAGGGCTGGAAGATGCGAGTCGGGTGAAACCACGAGACGTTGGGGCAACTAGGCAGGAAGCAATGCTCATGAAGTTTCCTGTAGGAGGGGTGGGGACATTTGGAACAACCCAGAAGGGCTGATAGATACACATGAGAAACGGAAGCACGAGGTGACGGAGGTTTGCACTTACAGAAAAGATGAACTCGTAGTGAGACGAGTTTGGTCCATGAGAAGGGTCCTGTACTTTCTTGAAGATGGTGTTATTAGATGGGATGCGGAAGAATCCTAGTTGATTTGCAGCTCCGTTAGCCAAAGGACCAGTTTTACTTGTTTGCCATTCCAGCATTGAGGCGTTGAACTCCGCAGGATTGCGGAACACAGAGTCGTACGTAGCTCCTGAGACGAGGAAGGGGTTGGGAAGGATGACGTGGTCTGTCAGATTTTTTCCGACCGAAGGCAAATCAACGATAGGAGGGATTCCGACGGCCTGGAGCTGGGCAGAATCACCGATACCAGAGAGTTGAAGGATTGTTGGCGTCCCAATGGTGCCCGCAGAGAGAACGATTTCCTTCGTCGCCTTGATCGTGTAAGAGTGTCCTGCGGGTGTATGTATGTTAGAAAGGGAGAAGATTCCAAGGCGTTGTGACCTTACCACCAGGTCCTGTTGAGAACTGAACGCTATGGAATGAAGGCTTGCCACCAACAGTGCCAGTTCGTAACAATTTCGTCACCTGAGCATTGACCAGAACGTGCAAGTTTGGTCGACTGGTGACGGGATGAAGGTACGAGCTTGATGAACTGCTTCGCACACCGTCGCCAATCGACGACTGAACCCAACCCATCCCAAGGACAGAGCCGTCATTGTAGTCAAGGTTGAATGGGAATTCTGCAGATTGTTCTTTTATGGCGTTCAGGAGGTGACTATCAAGTGGGGTCAAATCTGAAGGAAGTGAAACACCGAGCACGCCGTTTGTTGGGTGGACTGCGGGGTCATATTCGCCAACGGTGGAAAGACCATCAATAGGCTGCATAAATTTCTCATGCTGTTGGGACGTGAACAACAGATCAACAGAAAATGTTGATTATTCTGACCTTGGTTATGTATTTTTGCATATTCGCCCAGTTCCAGCCTTCATCCCCAGAAATCGAGGCATACTTCTTGAAGTCGTCAATCGAGCCTCGCGTGTACACCATAAAGTCTAGACAGGGAATTCGGTCAACGTTGCCGAGAAATACTCTTATTTAGTACTTACTAACGGTACTGCTTCCACCTAGCAGACGACCCCGGTTATACTTAATAGTTCGCCCATTGAGGCCGGGTTGGGCGCTGGTTGTATAATTCCAGTCATAAATGGTGTCTGAAAGATAATGAGGTGAAGGAAGAAGGAAGGAGGGGTAGAACAAACCAGGGACTAGTGAAGGACCCAGCAAGGGTACGGTGGCAGCAATGATGCCTTCATCTCTACAAATCTGTAAGCATAAATGCAGATATCCAAAATATGAACGAACGTTGGGCCAGCTTCTAGAACTAAGACCTTGTTGCTGTTGATCTCAGTTAGTCGATTCGCAATGACACTGCCCGCCGTCCCCCCTTGCGTGGACTTGCGCATGAGCTTTCTCCCGTTGGATATGAATAGTGGCTCACCTCCAATGATAACGTAGTCATAGGTGTCGCATGGAAGTTGATTCGGGTTCGTAAAGATGGCTGAAAGAACAGGAGCCACGAAAACAGACGAGAGAAGTAAGTGACGGAGAGAGACGGGGGAGTGCATCGCGGGGTTGAAAGGACGCCTGGAGAGAATGTCAACCATGAATCCCTTTAAATCTGCGGCTTGTCAAGAGCCAAGATCTACACGACCGATTTCAACATCTTGGCAACGGGACCAGATGCATTAGGCGGATTTACCTCACTGATCAACATTTGAAGCCAGGAGGGTGGCGCCCCTCAGAGCTAGGTACCACCCGTTATGTTATTCCACCCCTCCGAAAATTGAAATGACAAGGTTCTTCTGAAGGAAAGTATGTGCAGGGAAGTGCAGGGAACAGGGAAGGCGCCAGAGGAGACGGCCGAAAGGCAAGAGAACTTCAGCAAAGTCCAAGCCTCCATATGTTTCCTGCATTTGCACACGAAAGACACTTTTGAACAGCACCAAAAAAGCCTATGAGTGGAGATTCAGTCTTTTTCCGTGAATTTATGCTAGGGACAGGGTAAAACTCACCAGATAACAACCTGATCATGGGCGTTCAAACAAGCCTACTTTCTCGGGCCGAGTGTAACCCAAGGCAAAACTACTTTCATTTTGGCCATACCTCGATTTGGCACGTATGCAAGGCTCAAGTCTTGAGACTACCCGCCGGTCCCTTGCCGCGTACCAAGCTAGAACTTGCGCGGCTCCCAAACCGTTCCGTTGGCGGTGTGATGTTTGGGATCTGTCTGGTGAGATCTGTGAGAAACTCGTCAATGTGCTATCGGGTGAGGGGGACCTGACCTGACGTGGTGACAGGAAAGATCTTTGGGTGAAAGGTTTACAAGATGACATGGACGGTACCCATGCATATCTGAACCCTTTGGATGAACGCAATCAAAGTTTCGCGTTCCTTCGTCCCTGTAAGGAGTGTGACACTCGTCACGAAAATTTACAACACCCATGCTTTCTCTGTCTCGCGCACGCACTGCACGATGGCAGGCTCTTTGCGTTCCAAGAGCATTCCATAGCTCAACACGACCACGAATAGGCTCCTACCTGAATCAGGCGCGTCCAGGTGCTATCTCATCCACCGGTCGTCGAAATTATTCCCAATACACTGACCGCAACACGGTTGGGGTAAGTCAGTGTCAGATGTTGTTCTGAAAGGAGAATAGATTCTAACGCCTGCGCTATCTCTCTACTGAAGGCCTTTACACCTAAATCTGCTGCGCTGTTTGTGGCCGTCGGTGTTGGTCTGTTCTTCTATTTCCAACACGAAAAGGAGAAGCTCCTTGAAGAACGAGGTGCGTAGCACGCTTTGATCAGCACTCGACCTTTGCTGAACGATCTCCAGAGAAAGAAAGGGCAGCAAAGCAGTATGGACGTCCGCAAGTTGGCGGACCATTCAACCTGACATCACATACTGGGGAACCGTTCACTGACAAGGATCTTCTCGGAAGATGGTCACTAGTCTATTTTGGCTTCACTAATTGCCCCGATATATGCCCAACAGAGTTGGATAAAGTATCCGATGTACTCAATGTAGCTGGTACGCTCCTCCTTTCCATCTGAAGCCTCAGCTTCAATTGAATCCTCTTCAGAAAAGGAGTACGGCAACATCTTTCGGCCCGTCTTTATTTCAGTCGATCCAGCACGAGATACACCTTCACGTATAGCCCGGTATCTTGAAGATTTCCACCCGTCATTCGTTGGTGTTGTCGGTCCCTGGGAAGCAACAAAGGCCGTATGCAAGGCTTATCGAGTTTATTTCTCGACGCCGCCCAACGCAGACCCTGCGGGAGATTATTTGGTTGACCATTCGATCTTCGTGTACCTCATGGACCCCCAAGGAAATTTCATGGAAGCCTTCGGTCAAAGCGTCCCTGCATCCGACATTATCTCAAAGGTACGAGAGGTGATAGCAGAATGGGAACAAGAGCACGGCAAAAAAGTATAATCTTATACTCCTTCACGACCGGTTATCAGGTCCGCTTTGTAGCCTACAAGATTTCCTTAATACAAAACAACTCGCCCTTCACCATTGTGATACGAAAACCTTCTTTTGTCCTGTTCATGACAGGAAACGTTCGTCCGACACCTGATGCCCTCACTCTTCCGCCACGACAAAGCAACCCCGAGAAGTACCTGGATGTTGTCTGGGAACCGATCAATGTCTTTTGGCAATGGGAAGCATCAAAGTCATGATCAGGACTGGACAGCATGAAGGGCTTCGAAATCGGCTTGCCTGACGGAAGCTGTATGGCTAGATGAGTTCACTAATCCCTTTCTGTCTGACATTCACCAGGAAGTTGCGGCATCGTCCTCGTAAATGAGAGGGAAACTCATGAATGAACGAGTTTGACCCCTTGAAAGCCGGAATGCTGCACCGAAGTGTGAAAGTGGGTGACTAGGGGGCAAAATACCGACCATCGCAATTCCCCGCTAATCTTACGCAACGAGAGGTTCACAACCCATCAACCTTGAGAGCAACAAAGAGAATACACTTGGACCTTTCATGCAGTTGACCCTTTCTTTTCACACATGTCAACAAAACATCTCCAACCAAGTTGACGTTACGAAAGTATCAACTACAGGAGGTCCGATGAAGGGGACCGCGTTGGTCGCCGAGGAATTCGAAGTGGCCAAAGGCTGGTGGGATAGTGCTGGTCAACCTTGTTCTTTGATCGCGCGCAGAATCTCACAAAAATTGGAAAGCCATGTTACTATTGCCCGAGGGTAATCGATTGTCACGTCTCCAGCAGGACTCTGTTCAGTCTCGCATTGACCAGCTCCGTCCGCAAGTCCGCGATATCAGGAGACGATCGAGTCTCCGACGTCCTCCGGGCTGGTGAGTTGCAAGCAAGGGTAGTACGTTCTCGAGAATACAATGCCGTCCAACTCCAAGTTGGCGGGTCTCCGATGACGGTACGCCGCTGGATGCCGCTGGTCCGAGGGCCCACATGGTGGCAGTCATAAACCCGCCGATCAAGTGCAGTGTTTCAATAATTGTCCATGATCGATGATCTTTCAAGAGCGCGCTAGGCACTGGGTGCGAAAAGATGGTTCAAGTTTTACACCCCGTCGGAGGCGTCAACTGAACAAAAAAAGCAATGACAACAGTGGGATTCGAACCCACGCCCCGGAGGACCAGATTATTCGGACAAAGCGCCCTCCTGATTCTGGCGCCTTAGACCACTCGGCCATGTTGCCAACACAAACGAGTTTGCATGAACAGACATTGCAACTCTGTGCCAACTGGAGGAAACGGATCAATCGGTCCTCGGCCACCTCCTCCATTCTGCCAGTTTTTTGTCTCCAGCCTCGGAGAGTCGGAGTCATCTTTTACATAAGCTCGCTTGGAAGTTGTGGGTGGCATTGGGTGGCAGTCGTTGGGCCAGTCGTTGGGCTGGCAATTGCAAAGTTTCTGACGACCAATCTCCTTTAGAAGAGGGCGATCGCGAAGTTGCATAGCTCGAGGAACACGAAACTGTTGTCTGAGAAGTGTGTGTCGGTCGACTGTAGTACGCAGTATCGGGTGATCTGACCGCGAGTGGGAAAAGTCACAAACGGATCTGCCCTTGATTGAAGTTCTTGACTTTTACCGACCTGATTCCACTTCGCCTTTAATTCTTCTTCCTCATAGGCTCTTTTTTATTTTTTGACCAGTGTAGATACGTTCCAACGAAGACCTTTCAGAGTCCAGCGACCAAGGGGGAATGCCCATCGAATCCATGATTCCTGCACGCCGTCGTCGTCATTCTGGTTCATTGGACCGCGATCACGCAATCAAACTTTCGACGGCTGCAGGAAGTCATCGCAATGCAGGCCTTGAACCACCACCACGTCCTAAATCTTCGCCCGTAGAACGACCGCACCAGCGTAGACGCCAAAAAAGTCCCCAACACAGCTCGGATTCTGAACAGGAGACCATCATGCAAGTGGATGTGGCTGATTCTGCCGACTCTCAGGACGAGGCAGGAGATAGCGGCGCGGATTCTGGCCCCGTCACATCTTTCAATCACACCACCACAATCGACAGACCAACAAAACCGCTCCCTGCACCAAAGTCGCGTAAAATGGCAGCACCAGCACCGAATCCTCACAATCCCGTCAAACTTCTAGCAAATCCTGCCATGCTACCTGTACAAGCACAGGTTGCACGAGGGGGTGTCGCATCCTCGAATCGCAAATTATATGTGATCTTGGAACAGGCATGTTTGGAGGCATACAGAATCTCAAGCGGAGGGAAGGGAAGGAATGGAAAGGAGGGCGAATTCAAGTACACTCTTTTAAACTGCGACGACCATCAGGGTATCCTCGCAAAGACGGGCAGGGACATTGCAGATGCACGTCCGGACATTACCCACCAAGTATGTGGTACAAACGTCGTCTCGTCGTTTCATTCTGACGTGAACTAGTGTCTCTTGACTCTCCTCGACTCCCCCCTCAACAAGGCTGGTCTCTTGCAGGTGTATATTCACACTGCCAAGGGAGTACTCATTGAGGTCAATCCTCATGTCCGCATTCCACGAACTTTTAAACGCTTCAGTGGCTTGATGGGTAGCCTTCTTTTCCTCTTCCTATCTGCTCAACCTGACTTTCTCTCTCTTCAGTACAACTTCTGCACAAACTCTCGATCCGCGGGGTTAATGGTCCTGAAAAATTGCTCAAGGTCATCAAGGTAAGGTTTTTTTTGGGCTCCTTGCAGCAACTAATCTCCTGGCTAGAATCCCGTTGTTGATCACCTTCCTCCTAATACCATCAAAATCAGTACGTGGACACATGTTCTCTCCAGATATCTGTTTAATTCCTTCCCTCTAGCACTCTCAGGGGATGCCCCTACACAGCGCCTGTCGCGGTACTTGCCCACCGTCCCTTCCACACATAATATCGCCGTATTTGTCGGAGCTATGGCAAGAGGAAAGGACGACTTTGCAGATGCTTATGTCGACGAAAAAATCGGTATTTCTGATTACCCCCTGAGTGCAAGTGTTGCTTGTGGCAAAGTAAGTCGTTCAAGTTCACTGCCGTTACCTGTCTAAATCCTTTTTTCACAGTTCTGCTGCGCTCTCGAAGAGTTCTGGGACGTCCTTTAAACACCTCTTTCGTGTTTCACCTCTGTCGCTCCTTTGCTTTGCATTTGCCTCATCTCATCTGTATTTTTACAACTATCAGCCATCTGCACTTCAACTCGCAGACCCTCTGCATCTGTACCATTAATGATCTCTTACTGACTTTGCATCCATCCACCCACTATCCTATCCTATCCTATCACGTCCCTTTACGACTTCCACTACCCGTTTTCCTTCTATCGTCCATAGATCGCCAAAATTTGCGACTCAACTCGCAATTCATTGTCTTGCCATCAGGTATCTAGACCTATATGTGAAGGTGTTGTCGCTGCGTCATGCTGCTTATAGAACAGCTATATTGTATGCCCCGTCCTAACAGTTCAAGAATGGCAAACCCACGAGTATGAAACATAATAATAGACCCCTCAGCACGACAAGGAAGGTCCATGCCACAAGGCATTGCCAAATGAGGGAGCGAAGCCATCATTTACCTGCCTATTCCATACTTGGAAGTAGTAATAAGGCCACCGCCTGCTCGTTTCCTCCAACATTCTGCCATGTCAAACCCAGCGTCTCAAACCCAGGCTGCTAGCGCCAGTCCTATGCCTGCTGGTGTCACAGATCCAGATTACAAGCCGTTGCCCGGACGTCTAGGGAATCTAACCGTCGTACAACTCCATACCCTCGACAAGCTTAAGAAGGAGCTTCAGGATGAAGGCCATTTCGCACCGGAACGTCATGATGATTCCACTCTTTTACGGTACGTTTCATTTCTCCCCAACTCTCATCTTTTCCGTTCAGGGGTTGTTCTGGACGATACGGAGGAGGAACGAGACTCGGTGTTGTATGACGATGAGGACTGATGTGCATTGGGACCAGGTTTTTACGTGCAAGAAAGTTTGATCTTGTAGCATCGAAGACAATGCTCCTCAATGCCGAACAATGGCGGAAGGAGTTTGGTGTAGATGAGCTCATCAAGTGTGTACCACCGCCAACGACGTCCACCATTCCGTACCCCTGATCTTTTTCTCCTTGTAGGAATTTTGATTATCCCGAGCAAAAGGACGTCGATAAATACTACCCACAGTACTATCATAAGACAGATAAGGTTCGTTTTGCCCTTGATCTCACGAATCTCGTCTAAATCGATGACATTCTGCTCACACTTTCTTGGTGGCTCTAGGACGGCCGGCCTATTTACATCGAAGGTTTAAGCCATTTCGACTACAATGCGCTATATGCAATTACGACCCAAGAACGTCAACTCCAGCGACTGGTATGGGAATATGAGAAGTTGTTGATGAACCGCTTCCCTGTCTGCTCCAAAGTTGCAGGTCATCCAGTGGAAACTTGTACCACGATCCTTGACTTGAAGGGTGTGTCCATGACCAACTTCTATCGCGTCAAGGATTATGTTGGGAAGGCTACTGGTATTGGTCAGGATAGATACCCCGAGACGATGGGTAAATTCTACATCATTAATGCGCCTTGGGCCTTCACTGCCGTTTGGACTGTCATCAAGCCCTGGCTCGATGAAGTTACCGTCAAGAAGATCAACATCCTTGGAGGATCCTACAAGGATACATTGCTTCAGCAGATACCAGCGGAGAACCTACCTGTGGAGTTTGGTGGTAAATGTCAATGTGAGGGCGGGTGCTCGTTGAGTGATGCTGGACCATGGAACGAAAAGGGAAAGGAAGAGGCGGCTCCCCAGATTTCTGCTTAATTCAACTCCCAGGACGAAAGAATTATCATCGTAGAGCCTGTACTTAATTTCCTCTTTTCATCGATTTCTTCATTTTATTCTAAAGAGGAATTTCTACGGGATATCCTATTAGTGCAAAGATAAAGGTCATAACGGTTTATAAGTGTAGAGGTTCCGTTCACAATGTTTTGCAACGTTCGGCACCCTCTCGAATTGTTTTCTCCACCAGAGTGTTGAACCACACAGGCCGCTGGTGGATAATACTATGACCAGTTCCCTCCCATTCAACGAATTCAGCCTGGGGTATACACGCCGCAATATCTTTTGAGTGTTGGGGAAGGATAAGATTATCGTGATCGCCGGTCACGATCGTAATTTTTGGTATTGACCGACCAATATGTTGCAACCGTTCTTTTGAGACATAGTGTGTAAGTCCCGCCGCCATCTGCGAGATGTGTCCTAAAAACTGTTGCGGCCTTGCCATGGCCATACGGCGAAGGTAACCCTTGAACCAGACATATAAGTCGAAAGCAAAATAGAAGGGAGAAATCGACAAACTTCGGTTTGAACTTGACGGTTTGTTCGTCCGTGAGGGTCATTCTCTGCCTTTTCCTCGAGCCACCGCTGGGGGAATACTAATTCCAACGCAAGGGGGACTTTGGCTTCAATCTTGCTAGTGAACATGAGGCGCGATAGGTACCAAACACCAGTCCACTGAATAAGGTCGCATGGTGAGGTGTATCCTCCCAATTCGATAAGAGTACGTACCGGCGGAAAGTTATTGAAGAACCAACCTCCAGGGGTTGTAACTGCAAGCGTCAGAGACGCAATACGATCGCTTATGCGATGCACAAGCTCTGGACGTGTTATGTGGAGATAGTTTCCTCAGGGGAATAGATATCTACCTTGCGCGATCATCCCGCCGAGGCTGATACCAACGACGTGTATGTCGCGCTCTGCTGTCCAACCGATGTAGTCAAGAAGCGCAATAGCATCTTCTGCCATTCCCGATGTACTTGGAGGAACGTGAATCGTCTAACCAAAATGCCAAGTTGGAACTTACCTGTATGGGCCTCTAGGGTATCCAGAGTTACCTACTCCGCGGTTATCGAACACGATAACGGTATGTTCGTCAGATTTGCCAAAGTGTTTGACCTGCTGTTCCCAACCAAAACAGTTTGTATTTAAACCCATGATAAAGAAAACCTTGAACTTTGTTCCTTTTCCATGTTGTTCGTAGTAAAGTGCATGGCTCTCCAAGAGCTCTGGGCTTTCTTTACGATGTTTGCTGACATTGAAGAGACCCTTTCGAACGCAGGTCGCTGTGTCGAAGATGGTTGGGAGGTTGTCGCCTTGGGGTGACATGGCGGAGTGTGGAAGAGGGAAGATGACTTGAGGCCACTTGCAGGACTCGTGTCCAGTCTCGTGTTTCC